TAAGCTTCCATTTGCTAGAAATAAAGAAAGATCAGATTTTCCTTTTCATAAAATACATTGTGACTTATGGGGTCCTGCTCCTACTCAATCTACTTGTCACTTCTTATATTATGTTATATTTGTGGATGACTATAGCAGGTATACTTGGCTTTATCCCATTCATAGAAAATCTGACTTTTTTAATGTTTTCCAGAAATTCAGAATGATGGTTGAGAACCAATTTGAAAGAACGATTAAGATTTTCCAATGTGATGGTGGAGGAGAATTTGCAAGCAAACAATTTCTTGAACAGCTTGCAAGAAGTGGAATTAAACTACAAGTCTCTTGTCCTGGTACACCAGAGCAAAATGGGATAGCAGAGAGGAAACACCGTCACATTGTAGAAACAGGTCTTACATTACTTATACATGCAAACATGCCTCTAAAATATTGGGTTGAAAGCTTCTCGACAGCTACATACCTCATAAACAGGTTGCCAACACCTATATTGGGTAACAAAAGTCCTTTTCTTTGCTTATTTAATAAAACACCTGACTACTCAATGTTGAAGGTATTTGGATGTCGATGCTTTCCTTATCTTAGAGATCATGCATCAAATAAACTACAACCTAGATCTTTACCTTGTGTCTTTATTGGTTACAGCCCTATACATAAAGGTTACAAATGTTTGCATCCATCAACACAAAGAATATATATCTCAAGACATGTGGTTTTTGATGAAAACTTTTTACCATATACTGATCTTACTAATATTTCTAAAAGTGTGAATACAGAAGGAGAGCTCAGCAGATATCCAGATTCTGACGAATGGTTCCGGGCATCACATAATTTACAACCTGCAAAGGACTTTCCTGACATAGATGATTCAAGCTGCTCAGGAGCTAAATTTCTTGATGACACAATTAGCCAAGGAGGGTCGCAGGATCTTGAAAGGATGGAAGGACCTCAAATTGACAACCTTCCAGATTCAAATCAAATAAATGAAACTGATGAGCCACAATCTGGAGTAGAGGTAGAAAATGCGTCAATACCTTCAAGCTCTCTAGATATTGAATCTACAAATTGTCCTCTTAGAGAGAGGAGTCAAGAGGCAACTGGCATAATGGGACAAAACAGATCACCTCCTCTTCAACATGATATGATTGAACCAAGGGTAGCTGGAGTATCACCGCCACCACACAACAGTAGCTCATCATCGATTCATTCTATGCAGACTAGATCTAAAACAGGGAACCATACGGGACATGTCAAAACCGATTTCACAAAGCATGCTCAAACAATGATAACTAATGATCCTCCTTCACGTGTTTCAGGTCTTGACATTCAAGAACCAAAATCAGTTAAGAGAGCACTTCAAATACCACATTGGGTTGCAGCTATACGTGAAGAGCTAGATGCCTTGCGGAAAAACAATACTTGGGAGTTAGTTCCTCGTCCATCTGATGCTAACATTGTAGGATCCAAATGGGTCTTCAAGACAAAATTGAATTCAGATGGTTCGGTGGAGAGGTTTAAAGCACGTTTAGTGGCAAAAGGGTTCTCTCAAATTCCAGGTCAAGACTTTGATGAGACCTTTAGCCCAGTACTTAAACCCACCACACTCCGCCTGGTGATTGCTTTGGCAACTACTCAAGAATGGCAGTTGCATCAACTTGACATAAAAAATGCATTTCTTCATGGCATGCTTAAAGAGACTGTATATATGACACAACCTCCTGGTTTTCGAGACCCTCAACATCCTAACCATGTTTGTCTATTGCGCAAGTCTATTTATGGCCTTAAACAGGCCCCTCGTACCTGGTTTGATAGGTTTACATTGCATCTTTTACAAATGGGGTTTTACTGTAGTCCTGCTGATTCCACTTTTTTTATTCTTCGCAATTCAAAAGGTATTGCTTTGCTTTTATTATATGTTGATGATATTGTTCTAACAGCCAATACAAATAAATTGTTACAGGACATCATTACCAATCTAAGTAAGGAGTTTGCACTCAAAGACTTAGGCCCACTCCATTACTTCCTTGGTATAGAGGTGAACACTTTCCCTGAAGGAATAATCCTCTCTCAAAACAAATATGCTCGTGACCTGCTAAATCGAGCTTCTATGTTGGATTCATCTTCTATTTCTACACCTCTTGCTGTCAAGGAGTCTACCACCCCCCGGGATGCCGAACTAATAGATGCTACAACGTATAGAAGCATTGTAGGAGCACTTCAATACTTGACCATCACAAGGATAGACATTTGCCATGCTGTTAATCGAGTATGCCAGTTTATGCAAGCCCCCACAATTGCTCATCTTCGTCAAGTCAAGAGGATTTTGAGATATCTCAAGGGCACTACCAACTATGGCATACGCTTCTTGAAACAGAGTACTTTGTCTCTCACTGGGTTCTGTGATGCTGACTGGGCTGGATGCTCTATCACTCGCCGCAGTACTACGGGGTTTTGTATATTCCTTGGGGCCAATTGCATCTCTTGGTCATCAAAGAAACAATCAACAGTGGCTCGCTCAACAACAGAAGCAGAATACAGGGCACTTGCCTCCACTGCAGCTGAACTAGTCTGGATCACTTACCTCCTTCGTGACATTGGAGTCTCCCTGCCCTCACCCCCTCAATTATTCTCAGATAACATCAGTGCTTTGCATATGTCCATTAATCCCGTATTTCATGCCCGAACGAAGCACATAGAAATGGATTACCATTTTGTACGGGAAAAAGTGGCTATCGGCACCCTCGTCACTCGCTACATTCCTAGCACTGATCAAATAGCAGATATCCTCACCAAACCCTTGCTCAAACGTCAACATGAACTTTTGCGTTTCAAGCTTGGAGTTGCTTCATCATCTCACTCCAGCTTGAGGGGGAGTATGAAGGCCTGTACAACAGATCAGGATCATGATCCTGCAAACAAGGAAAGTTCTATGACAGTCAATCAAGAAGGAAAGCCAAAGAAATCTTCCA